GTGAACAAAGACGAAGTCTTTTGAGAAAATGGAAACAAAAAGGACACATACACGTAACAGAAGAAAGAGAATTGAAATTTCTACGGAATTCAATGAGGATGGCTTTATTAGAAACAAAGAAAAGAACTGTTACGTAATGTCAATATTCCTATATGGCAGTGAATGCTGGACAATCTTGTCAAAGAAAAAGTGACTTAAAGCAAAAGATATGTGGCTCTACAGGACGATGCTGAGGATACTATGGACTGAATATGTGAGAAACAAAAGCGTTTTAAAGAAAAAGTGAATCATAAAGGAAACTTATAATTAACATCATTTAAGGGACACTTTAAATTTCTGGGGAACATAATGAGGAAAGACGGCTTAAAAATTTAACACTCACAGGACATATTGAAGGCAAGAGTGACAGAGAAAAACTACTCAAAAAAGACATTGAGCTTGTGTAAATAGATGGCAGAAAACGGTTTAGAAAAGATGACAAAATTTATTGAGTCACAAAGGAAAGAAAATTGTGGAGGCCCATAATCACCAACATCTTGAAAAGGCATGTCACATAGATGAGCAAACGCAACGAGTTTGTGTAAATGGATGACAGAACCAGTTTTTATGAGAGATAACACAAAAGATAACATTTATTAAGAGCTACAAAGGAGAGGAAATAGTGGAGAACCATGATCGCTAACGTCCTGAAGGGTCACGACACAAGGATAAATGATTCCGACTGATAAAGCATTATCTTTTCTCGTCGGATGATATAAGTAATCACATACTGATATAAGATTCAACTGGTCCTAAAATCGGGAATCAGTTTTGTTTTTTTTTTATTATTATTCTTAATTGTTAAATTGAATTCACCAAACCTAGCCAGGAATTAATATAGTACTTCACCGAATATCTTTAGATACATGTTAAAAATCTCTGATGTTAGTAAGATCTTAAGAAAAGACACCGCCACTTTTGACAGCAGAAGTAAACTTTTATTCGTCTAATATTCTAGACATTTCTCCTGCATGCACATCATCCAACACTATATCAGCTGCCATGTATTTATAGACGTTTTTCTATAGACATGAGTTTGTCTTTTATCTTTGTTTTTAAAACTGAAATGGTTATTTACTCTGAATATTGTAACAATGCTGGTCACAACGAACGTGGTTAATGTCGCCTGAAAATATGACAGACAACATAAAACAAAAATTCTGAATGCCTTTGATGTCTGACTTCAAAGTAAAGTATATAATCCATAGATTTTATACAACGGGTTAACTTTAGTTTCTTTTCCTTCTCTTCTTCCAGCAAGTCTGAAATTTGCTGTATGGATATTTCACCTACCGATGTTATCTAAAATGCAAGGGACTAACTCAACATGTCCGTCCTGTCTCAGTTTTATTTGTAAAACAGTATTTAAAAGCGGCTCCAGCATATGCAAATATCGCACCAACGTAAAACAGTAATCGACAGAAAACTGCGTATACAATAGTCTATGCAGTTGTGGCAGAAAATAGCAAAACGAAACAAGCTTTATGTTTGTTATAAGATTTACTGAACCCAGTAAAGTTTTAAACCATGGATAAACGTCGAGTTGCTTATGTGTGTCGGGAAAGGATGCAATCAAAATTCTCTATCAGATTTCGCGAACTGGCGCTACAGAATCAGAAACAAAGAACTTTACCAAATAACAGAAGCCATATCAGTTTTTCTACAGTAACTACAACTAAATTAAATAACACATGGATAAACTAATGACATAATCAATATGCTAACATATTTCAAACAAAGGCTTAGAAAAGAAGGCTCCATTTGAAGTGGAAAGAGCAATAACAGTTATAACCTATTTCAGAGAAAATTTATATATATATATATATATATATATATATATATATATATATATATATATATATATATCGACTCTCCCATCGAATTCGACGTATGAGGGTCAAGCAGATCAGTTCCCAGGAAACCGACAGCCCGACAACAGCACATGAGATTTGATTATAGTGGTGAAGGTTTCGTGCAAGACCAGCCACACTTTTTGAAGGACAGAATACAGGGACCTGGTGCACTACGTGCCACAAGGTCCCCAAACGACCCTCCGCGGGTTTATAGGAGAACCAGTGGAGTAATGGATATCGGCTTGGATTGAGGAATCGGAAAGAAGAGTTCGAATTCCAGTCGAATCCATTACATTCACTTACGTGCTAATACCCTTGGGAAAGGCATGAATCCTCTTCTTCTCCCTCCAGCTATGGGTAAATAGCAGGACAGACTGGGTTCTATAGCCTTGGATGGCAACTGGTCTAGGAGAAGGACAACTCTAAATATATATTGACATATATTTAAGTATATATATATATATATATATATATATATATATATATATGTATAAGGATATTGGTGTTGATATATATAGGAATGGCTTTATATGCTTATATGTGTACGTACATATATTCATGTACAGCGAATTTATTTAATACAACATAATTTTGATAAGTAATTAATGTAATGCGCATATATATATATATATATATATATATATATATATATATATATATATATATATATATATATATATAATTTCAATTGATGGTATACTAAGTGTAAAGCTAATGAATTTGAAATGTGTTCATATGAGGAAACGGATAATTTTAGTAAAGCTTTTAAAACAATATCTAAAAGCCGTTCCAGGATATGCAGATACCGAACCAAAGTCGAACACGAATTGAAAGAAGGTCTTTGACAGAGAATACTAAAGGAAAATCAGCCATATTTGCAGCATCCTATCCATATGCTATGCTCAAATAATTCAATCAGCAGGGAAAGCATAATGAATAAGTAAAAACAGAATAAGAAGACAAAGAACGGTATATTGGCAAATTACAACGCATAAAATTCGATTTGACTTGCCCTAATTTCTGAAATGTCACAGATTGGGCGAGAAAGACCGAATATGAAATGTTTGTGCTTGAATGAGTATAATTGGCCATAGAGAAAGAGATCATGTAGCCACAGATAACAGACAGCTGAAGAATGCCGTAGATTACAATAGTCGAAATGTTATAAAATGAATAAAAACAAAAACCTTGATATTAGTTTGACCTAACCAATGATTTTATAATCAATTCCCGATTATTCTCTTCATCGCATTTGAGCAAGGGTTCCCAATGTGGTTGACGTCGAAACCGACGATCAATAAGGCCATCCAAGGGTCGATAAATGCCTGAGTGGTCGAAAAGAAATCGATAAATAGCAAGAGGTCAAAAGAAGGTCAATAAATAAATCTTGGTAACTTACGACTAAAACACACAAATTTCCAACCAAATGCTAAAGGCATTGCTACTGCTAAACAAACACAGCCTTCACATTAACGATGTCAACCAATTCACTAAAAAGATCTATTATTTCAAGGCTTTATTATTATTATTATTATTATTATTATTATTATTATTATTAATTCCCTTGATTTCTGTTGTATACACATTTCGTTTCGGGTCCCTAAAGCCAGAAATAGTTTTATAACATTTTCCACTGATGATTTTTATAAAACCAAATCTACCAAAAAACTTAAAATCATACATTTTACATGGATAAAGCTCTTCGTAATGTGTGAACTGTACTTGCGAGTACAATTTTTTGTATTTCTTTGAGGCATGGGCTAATAGGTTCTCCATCAACGATTATATCGGAACATTTTCCAATCAATCTGCCACATTTTTTAGTTTTCCACTTCAAGATCCTTGTATTTTGATAGTTTTATTAAAAAAAAAATCTTCCAAAGTCTGTAGTAATTGCCATGTGAATAAAGAAATACATTCTCTTCTAGTGGTCGATGTCTAGGCGATTAAATTTTATTGTCCGGTCTCTGTATAATTTAAAGCCCCATACAATTGTTACAGGCCTTATGCCTGTAACCGGGCCAAGGTGGTGTACATACCAGTTTCTTGCAGTTTCCTCCCCGTAAAAGTTGCAGATATTCTAGTGCAGTTACTATTCCCCTCTCTCATATCGTGGCTTTATTCAGTTTATGCATACACCGAGCAACCTGATACATTATGGTCAATTATTTCTGGATATTTATCACAAAATTTGGTGTTGTTATTGTTATTATTATTATTTTTATTTTCTTTGATTTCTGGCCTTTACACATTTCTTTCCGGGTCCCGCCCAGGGACCTAAGGTTAGAAATGGCATCATGACACTTTCCACTGACAAAAAAAAAAATTACATAGATAAAGCCCTTCGTAAAGTGTGGGCTGTACTTTTCAGAACAATTTTTTGTATCTCCTTGAGGCATGGACTTCCAGGAATCCCTTCAATTAGTCTACTGCAATCTTTTCCAACCAGTCCTAGGGCTCCAACTACAACAGGGATTGTTGATGTTCCCATATGCCACATTTTCGAGATTTCTATTTCACGGTCCTTGTATTTTGACAGCTTTTTGAATATCTTCAAAGATACATTGCAGTCAGCAGGGACTGCCATATCAATAAGAAGGCACTTTTTTTGTTTGTGGTCTTTAATAACAATATCTGGCCGGTTGGCCTTGATTGTTCTGTCAGTGTGTATTGTGTAGTCCCATAGAATTGTAACAGGTCCTATCTCCGTAACCGGGTCTGGGTGGTGTTCATACCAGTTTCTTTCAGGTTCCTTCCCGAAGAAGTTGCAGATTTTCCAGTGCAGATATTGGCCAACTCTGTCATTCCGGGTATTTATCATTATTATTATTATTATTATTATTATTATTATTATTATTATTATTTTTTCTTTGATTTCTGGCCTTTACATTTTCTTTCCGGGTCCCGCTCAGGGACCTAAGGTTAGAAATGGCATCATGACACTTTGCACTGACAAAAAAAAAAAAAAATACATAGATAAAGCCCTTCGTAAAGTGTCGGCTATTATTATTATTATTATTATTATTATTATTATTATTATTATTATTATTATTATTATTATTTCTTTTCATTTATGTTACATAATCATTTTCTACGGCAGTAAAATTACGTTGAAATACCAGTTCCCATACGATTACCGAAGTTAAGCAACGTCAAGTCTTGTCAGTAGCTAGATGGGTGACCGCTTGCGAATGCCAGGTACTGTAATCTTGGATTTGCGGGCGGCGTAATGGACAATACCCGGGGTGGGTGGGGGAAGGTTATTCAGAGAACCGAATTCCAGTTTGCGTTTGGTTCTTTACATTCACTTAATATTATCCTTGCGGAAGGCATGAATCCATCTCTTCTAACCCTATCTCTGGCATCTCGTTTACAGTCGCTCTCTCACAAACGTACCGTCGCTTCCCTCTGTCTTTTCCAGAAATACATTCACGGCAACTCCTCCGACGAGCTACTCTCGCTGCTTCCAAAACTGCATGAATTTAAGCGTGCTACTAGGTTGGCATCTCAGTCCCACCCTTTCACTGTTGAAAAGGTTAAATGTAGCCGTCTCTTCTACTTCACGTCTTGCACTTCCCGTCTGTGGAACTCCCTTCCTCTTGCTTGCTTCCCTGATAGCTATAATTTTCGATGATATAAATGCAATGTCAATCGACATCTTGATCTAATTCCCAGTCTTTCTCGTGATCCTTTTCTCTATCACGCCTCTTTACTCTTGCTCTCAATCCTCTGTAACCCCTTGCGTGCTAGTGGCACTCCCGCCTTGCTTAGGAAATGCTTTAAAAAGTTATGGGTTAATTAGAAAGATTTCTATCACTAAACATGATCTCAAAAAAATCTTACAACATTTTGTAGTTTTAAGTAACCCCCAAAGGGTTGAAAACTCGTAAAAAACGATTACATTAATAAATCATTTCCTAAACTCAGAAATTCCGCCAAGATATTTTGCACTGCACATTTCTGTTAAAAAAATAAGTAAATAAAACTGAATAACGCACAGATTTTATGTAGATAAAACGCCTTTTCGGGGCGTGAATTATGCTTCTGAGAACATTATTTTGTATTTCCTTTGTACATGGAGCCTTGGCCCATATGTTATAAGCATGGGTATGGTGCTCCCCAAATTAAAACGAGCTTGTGTCAGCTCCAGTCTTGGTGGGAAGGCCGGGTAAATATTCCTATTAGGGCCTTATACTATCAATCCCAGGGTCTCAAACACAACTGGAATTATTGATGTTCCACATTTTTCAAATTGCTGCATCTAGATCCTTGTATTTTTTTTGAAGATCTTCAAAAGATATATTATAGTCTGCAGGAACTGCCATTTTCATAAGAAACCACGTTCTGTTTTTGAGGTCTTCGATTTTTATTAATTTATTATTATTATTATTATTATTATTATTATTATTATTATTATTATTATTATTCGTACAAAGTCAAACGGATGAAAAATAGAAATTAAAAAAGCAGTAAAAAATCCTGGAGCTAAATTCAATCTTTTCGAGTAACGATAATAAAAGAAAAGGGAATAAAGAATATCCACCATTAAATTAAAAAAAAATTATTTCATTATTGATCTTTTTATACATGACTGTCGGTCGATGAGGAATCAAGAATTAAAAAAAAAAGTTGACTGTCTAAAATTTGGGGGGAAGCTTGGTCTTAGACTTTGAAAACAATATTCATTTTAATATTCTAAATTTTGTGTACAACAGATTTTTAATTTTTTCCAGTATTCAACTTTTAATACATTTCTAATTACAAGGAGATGACGAAATGCCTTGCCCTAACACACTTCCCAAATTTAGTAGTGTAACGACAAAACATTAACATATTGATTTTGGGAATTGTGTCAACCCGATACTTTTTTAGCAGTTATTCATTTAGTCATTGTCTAATTATTTAAATTATGATGAGGTTTGTGTCGCATTTCCTAGCGCCCAGTTTATGGAAAACTTAGGAGATAGTACATAGGTTAAAACCTATTTTGACTATTCTTTATTTAGTGTTTGTTTTTATTTTTCACCCTGTACAGAACAGAAGAGATGTAATTTTTTACATCCCTTCTGAAATTACGGGTTCACGATATAACTAGTTACTAATAAAACAATTCTAGAAGAGGTGAAAACAAAGAAAAAAAAACTTACCGATGGCATGGATAGATTCAAGAAAGGCGTTCGACTGTGTTACACACTCATGGTTAAAGAAGAGCCTGAAAAATATACAGACTATGTCTCACTCATAACAGTAAGCATGAAAAAACAGGAAGATACTAAATCTAAACCATACAAACGGGTCATTAAGATCGAAACCAATCAGTATGAAAAGCGGCATCTTCCAAGGAGATTCATTATCACCACTACTCTTCCGCCTTGCATTAACGCCGCTCAGGTACCTACTGAGCCACAAATAAAAGACAGAGAATGCCAAACTGAAACACGTATTTTATACTGATGATCTTAAAACGTTTGCCAAGGATGACAACCAGAAGAAAAACCTACTCACCCTTGTCAAAATCTTGAGCAAAGACATTACGATGGAGTTCGGAATCGACAAATGTGACAAGGTCAGCTTCGTAGGCGGTAAACTAACGAAAACTACGGATTTAGTCCTTGATATCTTCAACGAGATTAAGATAGAGGATTACCGAAGAAAAGGTGAAGTTTATGCGGATATATGGGGAAGATAACGTTTAACCCTAATCCTGTTCAGGTTAAGATTGTAGTGATAGGGGAAGCATCATCTTTGGAGTCGCTTTCACAAAGCAGAATTTCGTGATAAGAAGCTGCTCAAGAGAAACGTACATTTTTCTAATGAAATACGAAATGAATGAAGGTGATTCGTTGCAATGTGCGTGCCACAATGAAGTTGTGACTGTAATAAAGTTAAACTACAGCACACGATAACTTGCTCAAAATTTACCTAAGTTAATACCACTTAGCTGTATATTGAGACACTAATCATAATATCTTTCTATATGCGTTGTATTAGCAACCGACCTACAACAAACATCGGTAGGTACCGTATAATATATTGGTATAACTTAGCGAACATTTAAAATTAGTCAGGTCTACTGATAAACACGTTAAAGTTAACATCAACTCTTATAAAATATTAATACCCTAGATTACACATCACACCAGGTAGTTTTTTTATAGCACTGCTACGCATAGTATGTTATTCTAAAATACAGTATCGATATTCTGGCTGGAATTCTCCAAGGTGACACACTTGCACCTTTCCTTTTCATCATTGTAATAGACTACATCATGCGTATATCAGTGGACACAATCAAAGAAAATGGACTGATGTATCAGCCTAGAAGAAGCTCACGTCATCCTGCACTCTACATCACCGATGCTGATTTTGCTGATGACATTGCACTGTTGTCTGACAACCTCATTAGTGCCCAAGCACTCCTTTCTTCTCTTGAATCAGCAGCTAACTGTGCAGGTCTACACCTAAATGAAACCAAAACTGAGTGTATGCCAATTAACATTCGCAACAATCATGAGATCAAAACACTCTCAGATAACATCGTCAAATGTGTCGAAGACTACAAGTATCTAGGATCACACATCAAGAACTCTGAGAAAGACTTCAACATTAGAAAAGGCATAGCATGGACTGCTTGTAACAAAATGGATAAGATCTGGAAATCCAATCTTGCTCGTCAATTCAAAATCCAACTTTTCCGCCTACTTATTGAGCCAATCTTACTCTATGGCTCTGAAACTTGGACTCTCTCAGCAAAACAACAGTGCCATTTAGATGGATGTTATACACGTCTTTTAAGAAGAGTGCTTAATCTCTCATGGCAAAACCACCCAACTCTAGAAATGATATATGGTGACTTGCCAAGTGTATCAACTTTAGTTTGTAAGAGACGTGTCCAGTTCGCCGGGCATTGTGCACGTGCCACAGATGAACTTGTGTCATCATTTGTACTCTGGAGGCACCCATCATCTGACAAACGATCACGCAAGTTAACCTTTCCAGATAGGATAAAACGAGACATATTGATCGCTAAGGAAGATCTTTTAGGAGCTATGACGGATAGGGAATACTGGAGAGGTGTAGTGAGTTCAATCTCGGCTGAGGCTGCAGGATGATGATGATGATGATGTTGGACTCGATGTATGCTGTAGAGAGCCACGGATAAGAACCGAATCATGAACGGTCTGCTTATCCGAAGCCGTTATCAACGCATAGTAATCTTCTATATCAACATAACAGAATATCATCTTTGATGGTGTATATCTTTGTTTAAATGGCCATATAACCTTTTTGAAGATGGTTCATGTGAGCCGAAAGCTTAGATCAAGGAACAGCATTAAAAAAAATACAAACAAAACAAATATAAAAATAACCTTTTATAGTAAAAATACAGGCAATATATTTAAAAAAAAAGAAACAAACTATAAACAATACATTTGTTGTATAAAATTAGCAAAAATAAACTTTTGTAGTAAAAGGGCAATCAATACATTTTATAGTAAAATTGAAGACATTGAAGTTCGTTTTTTTAAAAATTTACTATGATTACTCTTGTTAGGAAAAACAGGGTTTTACTCCTCTTTTGGTTTTTGTAAGATTTATTTGATAGTTCATGTGAGGTCTCGACTCACATGTGCCATCATCAGAGTGGTTATATGGACAATTTTTGTTTTTATTTTCTCACGAAATTAAAGCAACCATGAGATGTTTAAAACGGTTTATGATCAAACATAATAGACATTCGTTGTCTGTTAGATTTAACAATATTTATAAATATATATATATATATATATATATATATATATATATATATATATATATATATATATTTAGTGTATTGGGGCAACAGATCATGATTCAAACATATATTGTTAAATATAACACACAATAAATGTCTATTATATTTGATCGTGAGCCGTTCTAAGCTTCGTATATTGGCATGAGTTTCGGGAGAAAATAAAGACAAAAACTGTCCAACATTTGGATATATATTTTTTATTATGCTTTTCCTCGATCTCTTCCGCGTTATCGTCGCATAGCAACCATCTATGTAAACATAACAGGATGTCATCTTTGATGGTGAACATCTCTGTTGTAGTGTCCATATAACCACTCTGATGATGGCACATGTGAGTCGAGACCTCACATGAGCCATCAAATAAATCTTACAAAAACCAAACGAGGAGTAAAAACCTGTTTTTCCTTACAAGAAATGAGAGAAATCATAGTAAATTTTAAAAAAAACAAACAACTTAGTGATATGTCCCGGAAAGGGATATATCTGTTCGAAGTAGCAAAGTGATTTTGGAGTACTGTAACCGAGTAGGACAATCTAGCAAGTAACCGTAATAGACTGGTCCTCATCGTAGTGGTAGGCAATAGGCGTAGCCAATAGGCGTAGGCCAATAGGCGTAGACCAATGTACCTCCACATCAGTCTGTATTTATGGCTGACACCAGTCAATCATATTACTGTGAGGGGAAACCCAGGTGTATGCATATTCATTACATCACTAAATAGCTAAATGATATGTCCTGGAAAGGGATATATTTGTTCGAAGTAGCAAAGTGGTTTTGGACTACTGTAACCAGGTAGGACAATCTAGCAGGTAACCATAATGGACTGGTCCTCGTCGTAGTGGTAGGCAATAGGCAATAGGCGGAGGCAATAGGTGCAAGTAATAGGCGTAGGCAATAGGCGTAGACAATGTACCTCCACATCAGTCTGTATTTATGGCTGACACCAGTCAATCATATTACTGTGAGGGGAAACCCAGGTGTATGCATATCCATTACATCACTTAGCAATGTCTTCAATTTTACTATGAAAATGTATTGATTGTTCTTTTACTACAAAAAATTATTGTTGCTAATTTTATAAAACAAATATATTGTTTATGTTTTTTTATAAAAATATATAGTCTTCATTTTTACTATAAAATGTTATTTTATATTTGTTTTGAATTTTGATTTTTGTTTTGGGGTTCTCTAATTGCTCATAACCTCTAACAGGTGCTTCTGTCATGGATCAAGGACGACCTGGGAACGACACCTGTTAAGAGGTGGTTTCTTGCCCCTCTAAACCATCAATCTTCCAATTAAAGTCCTTGTTGCAGGGTGTAGTTCATCGTCATACCCAGGAAGGCCCAGGTGAATTCATTACAGATTTTAGAAAATAAAAAAAATAAAATCAAGTAAAGAAGTATTAGGTTGGTGCAAAAATAATGACGTAATAATGTCGTTTTTTGACGTTAAAAATACGTCAAAAACGACATTATTTCGTCATTATTTTTGCACCAACCTAATACAAGGCACCTAGAAATTTTCTGATCTAAATGCACTGCGTGCCAAATTATTATCGAGATAACTGTTTTTTTTTAATATTTAAAAAACCGTCCAATTAATTCACACAAAATTTTCACACAACGTTTACAACACTGACCTGCGCAATCACTTTTCGTACAGATCTGCGCAATGTAAACAAACTGGCGCCATATTTGTTATCAGCACGGTGATTTGAGAGTGCCAAATTATTAGAAAAGTGTAAGAATTTAGTGAAAAGATGGATCGTAAAAGCAGTTTAAGTGATGCTGAAAAGAAAACTATCACCTCAGAACTCTCAAAAGGTAAATCTACCCTAGAAATTTGTAAAATGATAGGGAGGTGTCATCAAAAAAAAAGTTCACCGCCGACTCTACACAAGTACGCAAAAGGGCAGATAAAGGGAAGCCGAAGGTTATTTCACGTCGTCTCATGTCACGACTTAAACAAGAGGCCACGCAGTGTATATGGAAATCTTTCTCTACACATCTGAGTCCTAAACATTGGTAACGGGACAAAACTCGTGAATACAAACATTAAACTTGAGATGCTACAAAAAATACAATCAAACTACATAAAAAATCGAGGCACCGTCAGACAAGAATCAGATCCAGTAGAAAACATAGCCACCGTCAAAAATAGTACGATGAAATGATATGCACACGTTTTAAGCGACAACAATATTTAAACTGACATCCTTCAAAATATCAGTGTCGTCAAAGGAAGGTGGATTGATTCGTTTTTTACGGATTATCAAACCTTTACAGGTTATTTAAAGCCAGAATTTTTTTTTTTTAGATCGTAAGAATTTTTTTTACATAATTGTTTAGTGATAACGTCTTACTAATTAAGCAACAGCTGGGGGAGAAAAAGTGAATTCGTACCTTTACTAAGAGTAGTTGCGCGTCAAGTGAATATAACGAACCTAAAGGGGATTGGAACCCGGCTCTCCGATTAACAATTCCGAGGCTGTTATCACCACCCGCACATCACCTGACATTTTCAAGCGGTCGCAAAGAAAGAAGCAGACAGAAAGAAAAAATATATATATACGTGCTGACAACGTCAACGTGTGTTCCCGGGGGTGCGGCTTAAATATTGGCATACAACCGATACATGAACGGAGATGGTAAGGTGTCGATTTGTGTAGCGACAGAAACGACCCCGCCCAGGTCAATGGACTAATGATGATGGTGATGAAGATGCATGAGGATGCTGACGAGGATGACATCTGACGGTGTCATTATAGAATCCAGACACAGGTAACATTATTTGAATCTTTGATTACTATCTAACACCGTGATGGAAATCTGTTCGTCTAGACAAGAACTTGGCGATGTGATAAGCTTAACAACTAATCTGTTAGCAGGACATATCCCAGTAAATCATTATTATCTCCAAAATAATTCTTGAAATCTAAAATATTTTCTGACACTAAATAATCCGCAAAGAGTTGATAAACCGTAAAAATCAAATCAAACAATCAGTAAGTATATTTGAATGTTTGTCAATAATTAAAAAGATATCTTGACGCGATTAAATCCTTTTGGTTTTAAAATGACACTCCTTTATCGGATCCTGTTAGCTGGAGTGCGAAATTACAAACTAAGAATTTTAAACTTAATAATCACTCACATCATTCACAACAGCTACAACACTGAAAATGAATCTGGAAGGGAAAATAATGATATATTCAATATGCATTCTACACTACCTTAAACAAAAGGTTTGCAAGGAAAAACTTATCAGTATTAAACGAGCTATAACAGTGAACACGTGGAGTTAGTTTATTTGAAAACTGTTTTACGATAAAGATTCTAAAAATCAGCTTTGATCTTAAATAATCAATAAACCTCAGGAGAAACATAAAAATCGCGTCCTATATACTTGGTTCTACGTCTTTCTCAGTTCTTTGCGTGTTTAGGTTAAAAATGGTAACGGTAATAGTAATACCATCCGTTTCCTTACCATGAAATATTCGGCATTCATTGACCGATCAGTCAGTGCTAATCAATTACTCTTTTCGTCGGTCGATGGCCAGTGGAATGGGATGAAAGCGTAGTACCTCTTCTCTTAATCTCTAATGGTAATAGGAACATTAGCCGTTTCCTTATAAGGAAACATTCGACATTCATTGACCGATCAGTCACAGCTATTCGATTACGCTTTTCTTCGTTTGTTGGCCATTGGACTGGGGTGTTTTGGTTACGTAGCAATTGGCGGTATTGTGCGAAACTGACACTGGCACAATTATTCTCCATTCAATTTTTATTTCATCCTATAATTAATTTGTTATAGCTTATCTATACATTGAATTATCTGAAGTGTTTAGTATTTACCAATTACACATCGTCAATTTTTATGAAGGATTTGAAGAAGGTCAATCATAAAAGAAATCCCTGTTTAATCACAGAGCCCAATAAAGCATCATTCTCTACATTGAAATAACTCTGGTTACGGTGGAGTAATGGATAGCAGCTTGGATTGAGGAATCGGAGAGTCGAGTTCGAATTCCAATCGAATCCATTACATTCACTTACATGCTAATACTCTTAGGAAAAGTATAAATCCTCTTCTTCTCTCGCCAGCTATGTATAACTAACAGGACAGACTAGGTTCTATAGACTTGGATGGCAACTAGTCTACCGCAGAAAGAAATGGCAACCTACTGCGGGAAAAAAGCTGCCTTGTCAAGCGTGTATCACGCATGGCACATAACTGACTTGGTTTGGTTTGTTTTACTTTACGAAATATCAATCTCAATAGGTTATTTAATGCCGACAAAATATTTATTGCCGGTAATATTTTTTTCCAAAAATGCATTGCTGGTAATAATATTTCTTCAAAAATCTGTTGCTGATAATTTTTTTCCAAAAATTTATTGCTGGTATTAAAACCTATTTTTGCATATTCACTGTGTTTTGACCTCAGTTTGGGGGTTAATTATTTACCTAAAGATGGGACCCTAACAAGTGCTACCACCCCTGGTCAGGATAGAACTGGGAACACCAGCAATTAAGAGGTGGTTACACGCTCCTCAACACCCCCCTGATCAGGAACCTTACTTTCAAATATAAGAGATAAAGCATTGAAACCATCATATGGACCTCTAACTTATTAGCATCGTATTGCCATCACAAGTGTTGCTGATCCAGCTTAACTGGGTGTTCCTAAGGCAAAGTGGTCTGACGGATCCCAGTTAGTTATTACATTTTTAACGAGGATTTTATATGAGTCATTATCGCACTTTATTTGCAATTCTAAAATTGACATTTAACGCCCGGTATTAAGTCATTCCAATAGA